AATAAATGGAAATATTAGCATCTGTGATAGGGTTGTTTATAAAAGTCTAGTAAAATAATTTTAGAATACATATATATGGTCATATATATGTTTTAAAACTAGAGAAGCTTCTGTATAACTCTGTTAATGAATTGTGTATCATGTTTACCTAGATATGGAATGTCTCAAACGGTGAGCTGCTTCATTTGTGTGCTCCGCTTTCAGAAGAAGGAGCTGCTACCCATGGAGGCTGGGTGACTGACCTTTGCTTTTCTCCAGATGGCAAAATGCTTATCTCTGCTGGAGGATATCTTAAGGTAAGAGTTCCCCAAGGACTGTGAAAGAAAATAATAGCCTATATCATATTTTCCAAGCTATTTTCACTTCCTGTTTCTTAGTTGGGCCTCTTACAACCCAGCGGAGTAAAAAGGCAGCTACTCGGGAGGATCACTCGGGCCTGTGAGGTCAAGACTGCAATGAGCCATGATTGCGCTATTGCACTCCGCCCTGGGTAACAGAGTGAGACCCTGTCTCAAAAACAAAACAAAACAAAAAACCTAGTAGTAAAATGAGTTTAGTAACTGAAAAAAACAAAACAAAACAAAACAAAACAGAAAAACATACTGAAAACAAAAAAGAACCAGATAAAACATTTAAAAATAACAAAAAAGGGAAAGAAAGAAAAAAATGGCAGTTACTGTTATCCCCACTTTGTAGTGACGAGACTGAGTTCCACAAGACTACTTTCCTCAGATCTTGGAAAAGCTCTGGTGACAGTGTTAGGGATGCCTTCAGTCGAGAGCTTTCATACTGCCCCATACTAAACTTGGGGCATCAGAATGACTAGCAAGTTGGGTGTTTAACTTAGTTCTGTTTTCCATGTCAATCACAATTAACTACGTTGGTTGAAAACCTTAAAAAAAAACATATTTTTGAAATTTCTTCAGTAATAATAGCAGCAATATATTGCTTTATAGTTTACAAAATAAGCTTAACTTCCCTCATCCTAGCCAGCTTTGTGAGGCTTAAATTTCATTCTTGGTTTACAGATAAGGAAAATGATTTTCTATGGAGATTATAATTTTCCTAAAGTTACATAATTAGTGCTGGGTGCAGTGGCTCACACCTGTAATCGCAGCACTTTGGGAGGACGAGGTGGGTGGATCACTTGAGGTCAGGAGTTCAGGACCAGCCTGGCCAACATGGTGAAACCTCGTCTCTACTAAAGATACAAAAAATTAGCTGGGTTTGGTGGTGGGTGCCTGGTTTTCCAGCTACTTGGGAGGCTGAGACATGAGAATTGCTTGAACCCCAGGGTTGGAGGTTGCAGTGAGCTGGGATTGCACCACTATACTCCAGCCTGGGCAACAAAGCAAGACTCCATCTCAAAAACAAAACAAAACAAATAAAAAAAATAAAGTTGCATAATTAATAAATAGAAAAGCCAGGACTCAGACCCAGGTCTCTGCCTCTCTTCTCTCTAGCAAATTCGCTTTTTAAAACTTACTAGTAGTTGAGGCTGCAATTTGAGTGTGTTGTGGCACTTCAGGGTCATATTTTTGGTGTTTTTTTGAGGCATCTTTTATCCATCCACTCAATAAGACTGTAGAATGCCCAGTGTTTGCTAAGGCCACAGCCGTGTGGCACAATGTTTATGGCTTGGTTCCTGCCTTTCAGTAGCTTATAGTCTATTGGGGAAGCAGATGGTAAACATAAAATCCCTAGAGTTTAGAAGGGGTCTGTGACTTGCTTTCATGAGTGAGGTGGAATTGCAAAGGAGAGGAGTGAACATACCAACCTTAGAGAGTTAGCAGAGGCTTCACCTGGAGGGGAATGCTTGAAGTGAGTCGTTTGAATAGTGGTTTACTTGAAAAAGTGATAGAAGATGATACTCTATATTGGTGGTCTCCAACCTTTTTGGTACTAGAGACTAGTTTCCTGGAAGACAGTTTTTCCACAGATGGGGTGGTAGTGGGCAGTTGGGGGTGGGGAATGGTTTCAGGATTAAACTGTTTCACCTCAGATCATCAGGCATTAGAGTCTTGTAAGGAGTATGCAAGCTAGATCCCTCACATGTGCAGTTCACAGTAGGACTCCTGCTGCTATGTGAATCTAATGCTGCCACTGATCTGTCAGGAGGCAAAGCTCAGGCGGTAATGTTCACTCACCTCCTGCCCTGCAGCTGGGTTCCTAAAAGGCCACGGACTAGTACTGGTCCATGGCCCGGGGGTTGGGGACTCTTCTATATTGGGCTGATCATTTGGACATTCTGAGAGCTATTTCATTTAAAATTGATCCCTAATAAGATCTTATGATACCACTATTTCTTACTGAAAACATTCAGGTGTAGGAAATGATTCTCATTAATTATTTAATGCAGAATAAGTGTTCAGAAATATTTGAATGACTGGCGTTTTGGTTATATGAGACCCACATGGCTGCAATTTTGCCGCCATAAAAATCTAGCTTATAAAAAAGATCAATTAGAGGGCAGTGTTTAGCTTTATGAAAGGATGTACTAAGAGGTACAAAAATACAGATAGACAAAAAGAGTAAGTTTTAGTATTTGATAGTACAGTAGGGAAATTATAGTTAAAAATTTATTGTATATTTTAAAATAGCTAGAAGAACTGTAATGTTCCCAACACAAAGAAAAGATAAATGTTTGAGGTGATGGATATCCCAATTATCCTAATTTGATCATTACACCTTGTATTACATGTACCCCCAAAATATGTACAACTGTAATATATCAATATTTTTTTTTAAAAAAGAAAGGATGTATGTATCCCTTTACAAGGTTTCATTGAAAGCACAATTCTGTTTACAAAATCTTGCATTAACCTACATCTTCATTCAGTTATTAGGAGATCCTGAGAAATGATCACCAATTGTTCTCCTTTAGTGTAAAGAACTAGAACCGAGTCTGTTCTGAGGATGATGCTTAGAGGAGAGTCATTGCTGTCTGTATTGGAAGCTGGGAGTCTTCAGCTATATTAGCTGCTGACAAATTTAACTGCTTAGCTTTGATACCAAGTTTCTAGAGACCACATCATTTGATTCTCTGGCCTCCACAGAATGCTATCACATAATTGAGAGTCTGGCTTATAAGATGTTATAAAGATCAGTGACCATATTTGCAGAGTTCTTGGGGAACCTTGAAATAAAGCAGCAGAATAGGTTTACATACTATCAGATTATGTCTTAAGGGTAAAAGAACTTCTAGCCTATATATTTAGTCTGTATATTTAAATGACAATCAGGCTGCCTTTGCCTTCTGGTTTGATTACTAGCTTATTCAACTGATTATGATATAGCCCAGCCTGCATCTACCCAGCATGTTAATGAGACTGTCCAAAAGCACAGAGCAAATTAAAAGTAAAAAGGAACAGCTGCTGTAGTGTCCAAAAGAATAGGCCTTTTGAGTCTGTTTACTTTAGAATCCAAGCTGTATAAATTGAGTTGCCAGTAAGATAAAGTAGGTATCCAGAAGCTAAAAAGTTCTTAACTTCCAAATTATTCCTATTTATAAGTGAAAAAATAATTTAGCTGTTTGCCTGCATTATGCCATGGAGTACATACTGAATGACAAGAAATTCACATTTATTCATGCACATGAAGGGGAAAGCTGATTGAAAATATGGAATACATGGTGATAAATGGTGGTGTGCCATGACTTGGTGGCAGCAGAGTGTAATGGTCAGGAGAGTGGGCCTTGGCCTTTAGATAGAATGCCTGAGTTCAAAGCCTGGCTCTGGCACTCATTAACTTTGTGACCTTGCACAGGTTGTTTAACTTCTGTGCCTTGATTTTCTTATCTGTAAACTTGATGTGATGCTAATACCTAGCTCATTTCAGAGATTTCCCATATACCCTTCCCCCCACAAATACATAACCTCTCCCATTATGACATCCTCCCACCAAAGATGTGCCTTTATTACAATTGATGGATCTCCACTGACACCTCATTATCATCCAAAGTCCATGGTTTAGGGTTCGTTCTTGGTGGCGTACATTTTTTAGGCAGTGGAACTAAGTGATCTCTAAGGGCCTTTGTGACTGAAAACGTGTCTTCTCTCAGGTTGGTGGAATGTGTTCTCTGTAATCTTGATTACATTGTTATTTTACAAAGCAAACTGTGAGTTGTGGGAAATCCCAAGTTAGTGCATGCTGCTTCAGTGAGGTTTACCAAATCCATTGGGTATACTTTTTGCATTTATTATTACTATTAGTGAACATGCATACTTGACCCACTCACGTGGGAAAGGCAGAATGCTGGGCACTGCCACAGGCACAAAGGTGGGTGACACTGTCATTGTGTGCATAATATTCAGGATCTTGGTGTGCTTGAGGCCTTTTCAAAAAAGTTTGTTTGTTGTCTCTTGCCCCCATTTTAGCCGTGAGATATATGGGTAAGCTTTATGATTCCCATGTGTTAAATGAACATAAATACTACTAGCAAATTCAATGATTGGGAAGGAAAGGAAGGACTTGGCTAGAGCACTGGCTGTGTTTGAGATGTTCAATATTTGTTTAGTAAATAGTGTAGATTATTGTATAAAGAAACTTGGTCAAGGACTCTTGCATCACACCTGGAGAAAGGAAAGATTTAGTAGAGAGAACATTCTTTCCTGTAGCCCATATTACAAATAGTTTGGGTCTCTGTCAGAATACCAGTCTGTGTCTGCAAAGGGGCATTTGAGTGAAGCGAGGGGCAACCTACTGCCTGTTCTCCTGAGAAGGACATGCAGACAAGAGAGTTCAGTCCAATCACTGCTGTAATGGACTCTGTAGCGTTCTGTCTGCAGCTCTGAAGCAGGCTGCATGTTTCTCCCACTTGGAGTTAGTTGTAGGTGGAGCAGTGAGGCCATCACAAGTGTTCATCAAGAAAAGGCTGACCAGGTTGAACAGTATATTCAGCATTAAACCCGAGACATTTTCCTTCTGTTTGCTTGAATTTGGTTGGGGGGAGGAGATAGAGCAAAGGATCTGTTGGCACTATAAATTGTCACACAGTGTAATTACCAATCTAATGAGAATTTTATTTTTCTCTGAACAGTGGTGGAACGTTGTCACTGGGCAATCCTTACAGACCTTCTACACAAATGGAACCAATCTTAAGAAAATACATGTGTCCCCTGACTTCAAAACATATGTGACTGTGGATAATCTTGGTATTTTATATATTTTACAGACTTTAGAATAAAATAGTTAAGCACTACTTAAGTTGAACTTTTTAAAAATTTAAATTGGAAAAAAATTCTAATGAAACTGATATCAACTTTTTGTAAAGCTCTGAATTGTGCAGTATTGCATTCATTACAAAAGTGTTTGTGGTTGGATGAATAATATTAATGTAGCTTCTTCCCAAATGAACATACCTTTAATCTTGTTTTTCATGATCATCATCAACAGTTTGTACTTAAGATGCAAATGAAAATGTGAATACATACCTTGTTATACTGTTGGTAAAATTCTGTCTGGATGCATTCAAAATGGTGGACATAATTAATGAGAAGAATTTGGAGGAAGTCTGTATTTTAATATCTGTATTTAATACTGTTATACAGGCTGTGCCTCAGGGTAGCAGTGACCTGATTTTTGAATCACACTTACCCCAAGAGGGTATTGTTCTCCCAATACAATTTTGGAGTTTATTTGCACTCTTTAAATTTGCTTTAAAAATGTTTTGTCTGTGTGCATAGTCTGCAGCGTTTCCTTTAATTGACTCAATAAATGAGTCTTGGATTTAGTAGGCCCCTTCCTTTTTTTTTTTGAGACAGAGTCTCGCTCTGTCACCAGGCTGGAGTGCAGTGGTGCGATCTCGGCTCACTACAACCTCCGCTTCCTGGGTTCAAGCGATTCTCTTGCCTCAGCCTCCTGAGTAGCTGGGACTACAGGAGCAAGCCACCACGCCCAGCTAATTTTTGTATTTTTAATAGAGTTGGGGTTTCACCATGTTGGCCAGGATGCTCTTGATCTCTTGACCTTGTGATCTGCCCACCTTGGCCTCCCAGAGTGCTGGGATTACAGGTGTGAGCCACCGCACTTGGCCAGACCGCTTCTTTTTTAATGGAGACAGGGTATTGCTGTATCACCCAGGCTGGAGTGCAGCGGCATGATCATACCTCATTGCAGCCTCAAACTCCTGGGTTCAAGCAGTCCTCCTGCCTCAGCCTCCCAAGTAGCTGAGATTACAGGCATGAGCCACCACACCCAGCTAATTTTTAAATTTTTTGTAGAGACAGGGTCTCACTATGTTGCCTAGGCTGGTCTTGAACTCTTAGCCTCAAGTAATCCTCCTGCCTTAGCCTCCCAAAGTGTAGGGATTACACGCGTGAGCCACTGGCCTGGACTTCAGCTGTTCTTTTTGTGAAGTAAAACTTATATGTTTGAGAGAATAGATTTTATTGGTCTATCCTTTTCTCACTGTAGCTGCTGGCAGCCCTGTGCCATATCTGGACTCTAGTTGTCAGTATCTGAGTTGGGCCCTAGTCCTGTTCCCTCTGGTTTCTTATGTACCAGACTTCTTACTTGAATGAATCTGATCTTGCCTAATCCTCACTTTTTTCTTTTTTAAAAATCAGTTTCTCCATTGCTAAATGTTAAGTCATTGAGTTGGGGTCAATTTTAATCATAAGCCTTAATAATATTTTTTTAAGAAATGTGAAATAAAACAATTTTCATCTGATTCCATTTACTTTTAGATGAATGGCATTGTTAATGCCATTCTCAGTGAATTTCAAGAGAATTCTCTGGTTTTCTGTGTAGTTCTAGAAGTTATGTGTTCTTCTAGTAACTCTAGAGGATTAACCTTTCAATCAACCTATTCCTCTCTCTCTCTCTCCCCCCCCCCATTTCCTTCCTCTTCTTTTATCTCCAAGGTTAATCAGGAAAAATAGCTTTTGACAGGGGAAAAAAAACTCATCACTAACTAGCTATTTTTGACCTCCTGATCAGGAACTTTAGCTGAAGCTTAAATCTAAAGAAACATTGTCTCTGAAATATATTATTAAGGGCAATGGAGATAAATTAATAGTAAATGTCGTTCTCAGAAAAAAATAATCAAAATTCAAAGATTTCTTTTTGTTTCTGTAACTGAAACTAAATCAAATGATTACTAGTGTTAACAGTAGATAAACAACTTGTTTTTATTGTTGGTGCATATTAGTATAACTCTGGGGTTGTTCGGAGAGAGGGTAAGGGAATAGACCACTCAGATGTATTTTAGATAAGATATTCCTATTTAGCCTTTGATGGCACTATAAATACAGTGAATACAATATTTTGCATTGTTAAGGAGGTTTTTTGTTTTTAAACAAAAAAAAAGGAGCTAGTTTACAGGCTTACTGTGATTTTAAGCAAATGTGAAAAGTAAAACCTTAACTTTATTAAAAGAAATTTCTGTAAGTGGTATGTCTCCTTAGAATATCCAAATCATAACTTTATTTGTGCACACTGTTTAGGGGCTCATCTCACGTATAGCTCAGAGTATAAAGTATTACCTTTTGGAATTAAAAGCCACTGACTGTTATTAACAACATACACCAGCTTTTAAAAAGCCTTGAATGGCCCCGTCTTAAAAAATAATTAAGAGCCGGGTGCGGTAGCTCGTGCCTGTAATCCCGGCTCCTTGGGAGGCTAAGGCACGAGGATTGCTTGGACCCTGGAGTTTGAGTCCAGCCCAGGTGACATAGCAAGACCCTGTCTTAAAAGAAAAATGGGAAGAAAGTCAAAGTAACATGAGGAAAGAGACACCTAATAGGATGGAGGTGTACATTTCATGGCAGTTCATGCAGTTAATCCAGAGGAAGATAATTGTTTTGTAGTTTGCAGTTGAGCATTTTTAAAGCATTTTCCCTTCCTGATATTTTTTGTGTTAGAAATTACATGGACTTCATATATATAAAATTTTTTTACATTATATGTCTCGTATGTTTTGAAACTTTTTGTATTTGTGATACAGCTTATATGATTTTTTGCCTTGTTATACATTTTAAAATATGAATTTAAAAAACTTTTGTAAAAATAAAATTCACAAAATTGTTTTGAAAAACATTTTTGGATTGTTTCACTCTTTGCTTGTCATTTATCGGTTGATTAGACGACTAAAGTGAAAGATTCAAGCTAAATCCATCAGTCTTTCTATCTAGGCTTTATCAGCTATATGTAAATTCAATTCTATCAAAATTTTCTGAGTGCCTCCTCAGTGTGTCTCTCTGATGGTTCCTGCCCGGTATGGCTGGCATGGAGAAGATCCTGTAAAAAAGAGAATTCATTTATTTATTCACTTAGTTTGTTCATGCATTTGTTTAATAAATATTGAGATGTACCATGTGCCTGGCATTGTTGTAGGTATTGGGAATACAGGAGTAAGCAAAACAAAATTCTTGCCTTACTGCAGGTAGGGGCCTGGGAGACGCAGAAAAAGTAAGTAAAATCTGTAGTGAATTTGGCGTTATTAAGTGGAGGGGAAGGGGTTACGCTTTTAGATGAACTGGCTCTTTCAGCAGGTGCTGCTTGTACAGATCTTAAAGATGTGAGGAAGTGAGCTCTGCGGGCTGTCGTGAAACCATTCTGAAGCAAGGGTACAGCAGGCGCAGACTCCAGTGGGATGGGTTGGTGCATTCTGGGAGCAGCCAGCTGGTCTTTGTGGCTGGAGAAGGGTGAGTGTGGGAGGTCTGACAGGAGAGGTGGGCAGAGAGGAATTGGGGTAGCACTGGAGGCTGCCTCTTAGGCCACAGTAGGGACTTTACTTTTGACTCTGGGAGCCAGAGTAGGAGGTTTGAGCAGTGGAGTGATCTGATTTAAGCTTTAACGAATCACCCAGGCAGTGGGAATCAATTGAAAGGGGAACCAATGAGAAGCTTTTGTAATTCGGACAAAATGAAGGTGGGCCAGACTAGGGTGACAGCAGCAGAGATTGTGACAAGTTGGGATTCTGGACTTATATTGAAGATAAGAGTTAATAGGATTTGCTGACAGATTGGATAAAGGTTGTGAGAGACAAGACAAGAACGATGCAAGGTTTTAGCCTGAGCAACTGCAAGAAGAGAATTGCTGTCAGCTGAGATGAAGAAGACACTGAAAGCAGCTTTGCAGACCTGGTAAGTTTGAGATGCCTGTTAAAACATTCCAAGTGTTGATGCTGTGTAGGTGGGATGCAAGGCTCTGCAGTTCATGGGAAAGGGCCATGCTGGAAGTAGAAATCTGAGAGTCATCAGTGAACCGATGATATTTAAAATCAAAGGACTAGATGAAATCAGCAGTGAAGTGGGTGTAGGTAGAAGAGACAGGGGGCCCCCAAGACTAAGTCCAGGGCAGTCTGCAGATTAGAGGGATGAGGGATCAGCCCAGGAGACTGAAAAGGACCAGCAGAGACTAAGAGTTGCAAATTAGTGTGGTAAGCATAGCGAATGCAGCAGGTGTGGGCCCCTTAACTTAATGTTATCTTGGCCTGAGTCCTTGATCAGTTGTTTATCCACCCACCTATCTATCCTGTACGCCTGAGCATCTACTGCCAAGCACTGGTTTAAGCAGCAGAGGAAGCAATAAATACATTTCAGTTGTTGAGGGATTATGGGGAAAATGGATAAGAAAACAAGACAGTATCAGCAGTTGTCTTATCTGAAACATGAGGATCAGTTCTTCTGGATTGTTGTAAAGAATTAATGAGATAAAACTCGTGAAGCACTTATCTCTTTGCTTGCACCAAAACAGTGCTCAGGAGACATTCTGTGATGCCATTTGAGCCCCCTCCTCTTTTCCTGGCAACAGCCCCAGCTACTGTCTCTGCCTCCAGTCGTGGCCCTCAGCATGAGCTTTCCAGAGCACTCTTCTGAATCCGTTTAAACTTCTCTGTTTAAACTTTGTGTTTGCACTTCAGTTTAAACCCTGGACCTGCTCGGTGTTCTCTTTTGTAGCTGTTTCTCTATGCTGTCCTTCTCTCGTCAGTTTTCTTTTTCCCCCTAACTCCCTGTTTCACAAATTCTTTGAGATGACCCTCAAGGGCTGAAGGTCTGCCCTGCCCTCTCCTAGCATTCTCTTTTCTCTCATGGCCTTTATTGTTGTCTTGGAATTGCTTGCTTATTGAGGTCCCCAGTAAATTGTAAGCTCTTTGAAAGCCAGGAGTGTAGAGTCTAACATGAGCCTAACATTGCAGTGAGGGCCTCAGTAAACAGTTGTGGGATGAATCCCTGAGTTCCATGGGTTGAATTTGCCCATGTCTTCATAACAGTCTCCGTTCTCCCTTTCCATGAGGATATCATGAGGCTGTCAAATGAAGATGAAGCATATCACCAACATTTTATCTTGCCATTTTAGTTTGGCCGTTTTCTGTGAAATATCATTAGGGGAAAGTAAAACTTTACTTGGATAAAAGAGGTTTGCTGCCAAATTATATAAAATGAATAAACATATCCCTGCAGTGTTTAAGTCAGCAAGTATGGCCGTCTATTATTCAGCAAACGTTTTATATTATAATTTACTCACTGACCTTTAGTGAAGGAGAAAATGATTTTCTAATAATTCTTAGTCTCTGAAGATTGTCACTGGAACACATTCCTTGCTCATAACCCCTCTTCTTAGGACCATGGATATACTAAACAGTTATTAAAATGCCTGAATTAGAAAATCTGCTGCTCTTGGGCTATGAGTTTAACTACAGAAGAATTACTGTATATGCTCACACGAGAGGGGAAGAAGGGGGTCACATTTGAGGCTCAGCAGAGACCAGGCCTTTGAATCATTTGGCAACAACAATGACTTGCACCTGAGTCAAATGATGTGAGACCAGAACTTAGGAAATTTTCATTTCAATTATGATTCAGGAAAACGAGTCATTGGTGTTCATTGTAAATTCATTTATGAGGTCAGGCCCTCAGTACTGGGAATGCTACTTATCACATAGAAATGAACAGAAAAATTTGCCTCTAATTTCAATCACCCAGGGCTAGAATATGTAATTAGAGAGGATGGTCAAGGCCTAAGTTTGGGTCTGGGGGTTCAAACTAGAAAACACTGAGCAGCTGAGTAGAGACTCCTGCTCAGTGCTGAGGTGGCTGTTCTGAGGAGTAGGAGCACATGTTTGCCTCCTTCATTCATTCAAATGTTTATTGTCGCTTCACTCCAGGCACTGCCCAGCTCTCCCTTATCTTCATAGGAGTTGAGTGGATCTGCAGACTGCAGCTTCAGTTTTTAGAGGAAGAACTAAACCTCAGCAGCTAATCAGTGACAAAGCCAGGACTAGAATCCAAATCTGCTATTCTTTATAGAAAGGCTAAGACTCCCTAGGCTTGTAAGTCACATGTCAGTTACAGTCTCAAGTAGAATATTCCTTGGTTTAGTGGCAGATGACACCAGCCTGGGAGTCATAGGGCTTGGGTTTCACTAGCTGGGGAAGGTCATCCATTAGCTTTGTGATGGTTTTGGAGATGTTCTTATATTCACCTTCAATTAGCAGTGATTCTAAGCCCTTCACCTACTCTCTGTTAATTAACCTCTGGACACATACCAAGTGTTTTAGAAGGAAGGAAGGGGGCTACTATTTTTTGAGGGCCTTTTATGTGCCAAGCCCACAGGCTGGGCACTTTCCATACATTATTTAACTGAATCATGACAGTGCTGCAAGGTGTTACCTCTCTTTCGTAGGTGTGGAAACAGATGCAGAGAGGTTAGGTTTCCGGGGCCCCAGAGCAAAGTGGTAGAGCTGGGTTTCTGGTCCATGGCCTTCTGTCTCCACTGGGTAACACTCCCTATACCTTCTCATTGAAGCCCCTGGGCTGGAGGGTCCAAGAGCATCACTTCAGTTCTGCATTTCATTCATTACTCACTTGAATCAGGACAGATGCATCACTACTCAGCTTTCAGAAGACACCAGATGCTGTCTGCTCCCAAGGGGCTTCTACTTTTGGTAGTCTGATTAATTTCTATCTGTGCCTGTAGAGATTGCTCTTTGAAAAAAAGCAGCAGGAACATTCTGATAGAAGCCAATGGACTGGAGAGGTGGGAGAATGCGTTGGATTTGCCAGCACCTGGCCACTGCTGAACCTGCTCTCAATTCTCGGGTGATTCAGGCATTGAGCAGCGTAGGTAGGGGAGCTACTGTTGCCTTCCCTTTGGAGGAGCCTGTTTCTACTTTGAAACTTTTAAGGGATTTATTTCAAATTAGTGGCAGCCCTGAGCTAGTGGATCTGTGTGCTTTCTTCTGCCATCTTGATTTCGTCTCCCCTTTCTCCTTTTCCTTTCATTTGAAAAGATGTAGCCCCTCAGAGCCTCACTTTCCTGATTTGTCAAATAGGGAACCTAATGTACAAGGCTTTTGTGGGACTTAGAAAAATGTCAAGAGTCTGATATGGGTCTCAGTAAGCAGCATAATAATTATCTTGTGTCTCAGTTACAAACCCCCATTCCTGTGCTGCCCAAATCTCCATGGTTTACAAATTGGGACCTTGCTGCTTCTGCTCCATGGCAGCTAGCTTTCTCCAGGCACTCTCCTCTACCGCCTCCTTATGGCCATTGGCTTTTAGGAGACAGACCTTGCTTAGCAGGAAGGCTGTCACCTGCTTTCTTTTGAACTAGCCTAAACCTTATTCTCTTTGGGTGATGCATACACCCATTAAGTAGTAAGGAGGACTGGGAATGAGAGGAGAAAAGACGCTGGGCTTGTTGCTGGGGCCAGTAGCTTGGGAGTGTGGTGGTATCTGCGTGGCTTTGACTATCAAGTGGATGTGAGTTCAACCCTGGCTGCACTAACATTCCAGTGGTGTGACTTCAGCAAATGGGTTAATCTCAAGGATTCACTTCCTATGGAGCCCTTAAATTTTCCTGGGTGATTCCAGCGTGCAGCGGAGGTTGAGAGCCAGGGCCCTCTACTCTCACCCTTGATGCCCAACCAAGTCATTGCCAGTCCCCTCCCTCTGCACAGCCCATGGCGCTGTGATGTCTGCGGATGCAGCATGCCCCTTGGTGCCTGCTCTGCCCGTGACATTCTCAGGAGCTTTCCTGGCAGCAAAGATGTTTGGTATGCATATTAATGCAGCTGTGGGGATCTTTCCTGGTCAAATGTGGTGGCTAATTTATAAAGCAACTCTGCCAGGATGATCACCAATCCCTCTTACAGGCACTGCTTTCTCTGTTCAAGTGTCTCACCTGTGTATGCTTGCATTTGCCTTTTAGATATTACTGTGATGATTCCCATTGTGGTAGACACTGCCAGTGACCACCCCAATATCCAATCTCCCCCTTTCCCTCACTGACAA